GTGCAAAGGACTCAGCGCCCCCTACTCCAATTGATGCGAAGCCGAATGCGCAGATCACTGGCTCCGATGAGACTCCTGCCGCCGACACACCTTCACAATCTGCCGCGATCCCCGACGAACGCGAAGAGAGCGCCGTTTCCCAACCTGCGCCAGTCGCAGATGCCAACACGACCGATGTTGCGGATGCAGACGTCGCCGCAGCACAAGACCAAAACGTTGGTGTTCCGAAGACGACTATGTCAGTATGACGTCTTGCTAACTAATCGACTAGGATGCGCCTAACCACGACGAAGAGCCTACCATCTCTAAGGGAGAGGACGACGATGACGAGACAGTCATCATCACGGGCGATGAGACCGCGGCCGATGGCAGCAAATTAGTGAGACCTCAGGAGGAGGATGTTGCGGACAACGATGGCGCAGAGGGCGACGACGCGAATGCGAGCGACAACGCCAATTTCAACGGAATGAATGGAGGCAACTTTCAAACTATGAACTTCACTGGGAATGGTGACTTCAATCAAATGCAGATGATGATGGCCATGCAGAACGGCATGGGCTCCAACTCGTTTGGCAACTTTCCAATGATGGGTAAGCCAACCCTCCACTTTCTCACGTCGTTGGCTGAAACTAACCGTGTCAGGTATGCCAGGAATGGGTATGGACCCAATGGCGATGCAGAACATGTACATGAACGGCGGCTATGGTGCTCAAGGCATGGGCATGGGAGGCTTCAACGGTGGTTTCGGCTCAGGCTCCAATAACTGGAACGGGCAACAGTCATGGAATTTCGGCCAAGATAATTTCAATTCTGCTAATGCTGCTGGCATGGGATCTGGTGACTATGGCAACTATAACTCAGGATTCCAGTCAGGGTACAATCAAGGTAATTATGGTCACCAATTCAATGACTACCGCCGCAACAATTACGGCAACCGTGGACGAGGCAGAGGACGCGGCTTTTACAACGGTGGCTATGGTCGAGGCGGATACCAACAGTATGGCGGCTATGGTGACCAGAGCCACGCGCAACAACAGTATGGAAACAACATGTACGGCCAGGGGTCCGAGGATGGAACCCGCGCCGCAGGAAATGTTGACGAGTTTGGCCGCGAGCGCCCAAATGACCAGGACGCGACTTCCAATGCAGGAGGCGGCGAAAACGCAGAGAACGGTGATGGGTCCAGACCCGCGGACGAAGGCGGGGACGAGCAGGGCCAGGCGGATCAGGAGGACGCTATGAATACAGACATGGCACAGGCATCCGGTGACTACTCTGCGTACAACGGGAACGGCATGTCGGGAGGTTATGGTCCTCAAGGATTCGCGCCTGCAGCCCCTGATGTTCCTATAAATGCTCCGACAGGTCCCAAGGCTATGCGTCAGGGTCTGCCGAATACAAGTTTGCACACCTTGCGAGCGCGAGGATACGTTGTCCCTGATGAGAGAGGCCGACAATCGTCGGTGGACGCACTCGCGATTCAGAGTCCCGTCGTGGACCAACAGCAGCAACAGCAACAGCAGCGATCCAGAAGCAACTCGTCGACACGTACCAAGGATAAGGACAGGAGCCGTCGCCGAGATGCGAGCCGTGATCGTGAGAGAGAACCTGACGTCAAGTCGGAGAGAGACCACGGCGTAAGAGAACGAGACTACTCACGCTCACCCTCACGCAGCAGAGACCAGAGCCGCGAGCGCAAGAGCGAGCGCGGCGGTGACCGAGATCGGGATCGTGATCGCGGCGATCGCCACCGGCGCCGGCGCAGACGTTCGGAATCAAGATCTGTCGTTGACGATCGAGACGATGAGTATCGTCGCAGGAAGCATAAGAGCAGAAAGCACACCTCATACAATGACGAAGACGACGTCAAGTCCCGTTCCAGAGACGACGGGCACGAAGAGAGGTCCAGGTCGGCGTCGCCTAGCGACTCGAAGCGGTCTAGCCATAGGAGCCGCAGAGACCGCGATGAGAAGCGCCGCGATCGGGAGAAGGACAACAAGCACCGGGACGACGACTACGACGACTACCACAGAAAGTCTAGCCATCGCTCGCACAGAGAGAGGGACCGCGACCGAGACCGGGGAGATCGGGACAGGGATCGAGATCGGGAGCGCGATCGCGACTACGACCGTGACCGGGACCGCAAGGATCGCGATCGCGAGAAGGATCGGAAGCGCGATAAGCACAGGGACCGGGAACACCGTCACCGCAGCAGCCGGAAGCAGTCGGCGGAGCCGCCCACGCCTGTCGACAGGGAGTTTCACCCGCCTACCGGCCCTCGTAGCGGTGGCGGTGATGGCTCCGGTCTCGAGATCAAGGGCGTGGGCTTAAAATCCGGCAGGTCGTCCGACAGACAGGACGGCGGACGGCGAGACTCCCAGGCCTCGGTCAACAGCAAGTCCGCGCCCAGCATCCCTACGAAAGACGCCCACGCCCTGGAGCGCGAGGCACGGGATCGCGAGCGTCTGCTGAAGGAGACGCAGCGCATGGCTGGTCTTGCGGGTTTGGCGGGTGCGAAACGCAGCAGGGATGAAAGTAGCGGAGGAGGAGGTGGCGAGGACGGCAAGCGGAGCCGACGAAAGGGGCGCCGCAGCGAGGCTATCAGCATCGATGAGGAGGAGGAGCGGATGCGTCGCATGGAAGCTGAGCGCGAGGGCAGTCGCTGGGGCTAGAAGCCTGACGGTCGGCCTCGTGCTGGTGCAGGTGGTGCTGCGATGGAGGAGACGATTGGCAGGCTTGGTCGTCACAATGTTCGGCCTACCAGGTCTCGGAGGGCGGACAATCGCGCCGATCACTACTGAGCACGGAGAAGTATTCCTATTCATTGAAGGGAAGACAGAGTTGGGGTTCGCTCTTCTCTCATGCCCAGCGGGGACTTGCGTCCCGGATCAATGGCTATTACTCTAGGCCAGCGTTTGCATGATATCATCTCAGTGGGCTCCTCTTTGGCGATGAAAGACTCACTCTGAAGAAATGGATGAGAAAAGGGGAAGAAGAGGTGATGGCGAGTTGTGGGACCACAAAAGGTAGACTTATTACGCTTCAGTAGCCGGCATGGGCTGTTATAGAGTCTCAGCACAACTCTTTGACATGATAAATCTTCTCTTCAGTGGCTATAGTGAAGTTCTCGTAAAGTGTGTTGCAAGTGAAACGGGTGCTCATTGAAGCTACCTGATGGGGAATCACTGGAATAGCAAACTACGCACCAGAAACCACTTGCCCTCGCAGCTGTCCACCCCTACTTCTACTACTACGATGCTTTCCAACGTCTGTTGCCGGTAGTATGTATACTCTGTAAAGTACATGTGATTGCTATTCTATTACAACTCCTGCTTGGGCTTAGGCTCTCTGAAGCGATATGGCCGCCGAGGATTGTCGAGAGCCCCCAAGGCCTCTCCTTGGCAATCTCTATTGAACTCGAAATCGATCAGGCGAAACTGAACTGTCACCGCATTTTCAGGGTCATCAATCGAATAGAGAGTTTGGATCTGTCGTTTCATGGCAAACCAAAGGTCTCCGTCGGATACGTGTGCAAACTCGGGGGTGTGGCGAGCCTCTGCCCAGCCCAGCAGAGGGTTGGATCCTGCTTCACTCATTTCGTCCCATGCCTGTTCAACCAACAGCTCTCCGTCTTCTACAAGCCAGGTGCGAGTGGTCGCAATCGTGAGTGATTTGAAGCCGTGTCTAAAGTCGGCGGGTATCGTCAGTGCCGCGAGGGCTGCGCGAAGCTCAGCTCTGTGCCTTACTGGCGTGCGAAGATCACCGTATGGGCCCAGTCTCTCCAGGCGCCCAGTCACGGCTCCTCCGAGGTGATATGGCTTGAAGAGGTATGCCCAGCTGCCGGTCCGGGTCTCTGGGCGACAGAGGCCCTGGATATAAATGAGAAAGTCTGTTTGGTCATGGATGTTTACGAACCGCGTCGCAAGCCGTCCATTAGCCGACCGGTATGGCCTCTCTGGGTACTCGAGCTCCGGATACTGGATACTCGGACAATCCAGTATTGGGCTGATTTGCATTTTTTGACTGCATTCGTGATCGGCAGAGGAACCATCAGAGAGTCCCGGACAGCTGCCGAGGCTCCAGTCTGATGTATCGTCGTCTGACATGGGGTAATCAAGCTCTCCCTCAATATCACTCAGCGCGTCGTCATTGCTGTTAGACACATAGGGGTCTCCGAGATCTGGACGTCGGCCGGAGTAGAAGAAGTAGATTGGTCGTCGTGCGCGTGCAAGATCGATATCGCTCGGCCCTTCCCTCGGCGGCCGGGGCATGGGCCTCAGAGATCTGAGGTACTCTGCTGCGTGGGCGTCGCGAGGCTGTGGGCAGTCTATACATTCAATTTCTCGGTGTTCCAAGCATCGGATGATGAATCGAGTACCATCGCGTGGACGTCTCATCGTGTACACTTCCTAGTTCTCGACTGGGGTCCATCGGGTGTCCGAGGCTCGCGTGGACGTGGAGAAGCCGGGTGGGATTGACATGATGTATGTTTGCGATGATTTCGAATAATATACTTGCTGGGTGACCCGAAATAGACAATGATGAGTTGGGTTGTTCGGGTAATGGTAAAGAGAAAACCGGAAAAGGGGGATGATGTTGGGGAGAGGAACAGGGATGGCATTTCTATACCAGAACTTGCTTGGCCTGGGCTCTTGCCATTGGGCATGCCGTGGGTATTACCTACCTCATGTAAGTCACAGGGACAATCATTGCATACCTCGCGATCCTTCCCAATATGAGAACATCGTGGTTTTACATAGCTGGTGCGGCAGGAACGGGAGGTGAAGAACTTGGTGAGTTAGGCTTAGAAAGTCTTTTGCCAGCCCACCAAGCACTCTTTCCAATCTTCAAATCTGCAAGCTACCCTGTCATACGGGAAGGCCCGTCAACCGCCTAGCCTCTAACTTGAGCCTTCAAATCTTCAGAAATGCCTGTTACAAACAACGGCGAGCTTGCCTGGATTTCCAAGTACAACATGTCGATGGCGTCGACTCTCATACTCACCAAGGAACAGCCCCATCTCTGTTTGAAAACGTTCCCGACACAGCACTCCCCTCCTCCAGCGTAGCCATCTCCACAATCCTCTTCGCCCCCAACCCAGTTGAAGCAGCGCCATGGCTAGCCAGCAGATCCTTCCCCATAAACGCAGTCAGCTTCGTCTCAATCAGCCCCGGGCACACGGCATTCGCAACGCCCCCGTCACCCTTCAACACCCTAGCATAGCTGACGGTCAACATATTGACCGCAGATTTGCTGGCATCGTACGCCTTGGCCGCGATATCGTAGAACCCCGCGCTTCCGTCCAGGGCAGCGGCCATGGACCCCTTGGTAGAGCTGACGAAGACGATGCGCGGGAACTGGGCCTTGCGGAGGAGCGGGAGGAGCGCGCCAGTTAGGACGGCGGTGCCGACGACGTTTGTGGCAAAGGTGGACGTCCACTGCTCACGTACGGAGAGTTTGTCGTTCATGTCAAAGTGCGCGCCGGCGTTGTTGACGAGGACGTCGAGTTTTCCAAAGGTTTCGGAGATGTAGGCGGCCGCTGCGAGGATGTCGTTGTCGGATGTGAGATCGAGTTGGATGGCGGACGCGCACAGGCCGCGAGACGTGAGGGAATCGGCTACCTCTTGGCCTGCTTTGAGGCTACGAGAACCGATGATGACGTGGTAGTGATGGGCGGAAGCTAGGATTTCGGCAGCGGCGCGGCCGATGCCGCCGTTGGCTCCTGTGATGAGTGCTACTGTCTGGGGATTCATGATGCTGAGGTATTTAATGATGTGATATGAGAGTGACGACTAGAGGAATGTGTAATACTCGCTCAACCTCGTCCTCCTCGCCTTATATGTATCGTATCCTTCATATTTAGAAGTATCATGATACTTGTCCATGAGCTCGAATGAATCATAATGACGTTTCTGCAGAGATAAAGTAAGTAGAATTGCGAATCAACATCTCACCGGCCTCTAAAACGATAAGCCTCAAGCTAAATGCAAGATCTTGACGCATTTGCTATCGAGATGAGCTCCTATCTCATATAATCTAATCACCCGATAAGCAGGCATTCCACTCCGAAGGCTCCCCTGGATGCTCTGCCCGCTTGGCATCATGGACTGGGAAACAAAACGGTTGAAAAAGGTCCTCTGTACACGGAAACCGAAACCGAGATCCGCTTTTACATAGGTTGGATGTTGAAGTCCTTCCTGGATGACTCTTCGCCGCTTGAGCCAAGACCAGGGGTGCCGGAGTCTCCCAACTATCCGCCCGGGCTCGACCCGCTTTTGCGGCCCTCTCAGGGGCAAGATGACGGCGTTTTCAGTCGGTACTGAACGTAATTCGCAAGTGAGAAACGCCACACTTTAGAAAGGATCCAATGTAGTCGAGATTGCAATCGGACACATGATCGCGGGATATATCTGAAATCTGATTTAAAGCAAGAGTTGCAAAATCCGTAGTGTGTCGAGGCGTGGGTGTTAGGATAGATAACCGACAATGGTGGCCTTTGAAGTGAGAATGTTGACATTTTCTTCGGTGTTGGTCCTGTGTGACAGACATGAGGAGGCCCAGAAGTTTTCGACTGTACGCTTGAGAGTGAGCAAGCTCTATCGTGTCCAGTCCATACCGAGGCCAAGGATGGACTCAATGGGCCACACCAGGCAATCCAAGCACCGTCCAAATCATTGCTTTCATGGCGTCTCGTAACCGATCTCACTGACTAAAAGAGTAGAAAAAAGAGTCGCATTTGCCACCATAATCGGCGGTGGGTATCTATCTAACATACTTGCTCATAAATCGCTTGTGGAAGTCGGAGCGCAGGAGATCCTATACGCAAGTCAGCAAAACCATCATCACACCGCTTGCGCTCACCCGTCATAGGGGTGCTTAGACCAAGAAAGGGGGGGTGGAATACTCACGTTGACAAACTCCTTGCCCTTGCCCTTCTCTTCCGTTCCCCTCGCCTGATTCTTGAAAACGACATCGTCGTCCCACCGTCTCTTCATGTTGAAATCAGGCTTATTCAACAACGGGTTCCCCAGCGCGATATCCCTCTCCCGCGCCTCCTCCTCGACCTTAGCCCTCTCCCTCTCTTCCTTCTCTCTCTTCTCCGCCCTCTCGCGTCGGATCTTCTCCATCTCGCGCTGTAGCTCCGCCTCCTCGTCGTCGCTGTCCTCGTCACTATCGTCATCGTCGTCATCGTCTTCTTCGTCCCCTTCCTCGTCTGAGGATGCGTCGACGTCCCGCGACTCTTCTAATATCCTCCTCCGCTTCGCTTCAAAGTCCTCTTCTGCGTCTGCTTGCGACCCGGCCTCGAGGGCACGCTTCACGCCGCCCGAGGGCGCGTCGGTAGTATCGGCATCGTCGTTCGCGGAGGGGGGAGGCGCGCCGCCGTTCTTCTTGGCGAAGTGGGCGGCCTCGGCGGCGAGGAGCTCGGCTCTGAGATCGTGGGATTCTTCGTCTGCGTTGCCGCCCTGGCCTGCTTGGCGGAACTTGAGTTGGGTGTGCGCTGGGAGGAGACGTTGGTGGTATGCCGGGCCGCGAAGGGCTTCTTTGCCTCGGGCCTGGGTATTATTTGGTTAGTAAAAAAGTTGAATCGTTGGTGAAAGAGCACTATGAAAACATACCGGATCAAAGGTGGGACGATGAGCGGTGGTCATGTTGGCAGTTTTGCGACGGGTTGTGAGAGTTGAAGATTGGTCGGTGTTGAAGAAGACTGAAAGTGCTAATCTGGTGATTGACAATTGACGTTCGGTCCCCCAGTAAATGCATGCGCGCGCGCACCTGGCTGAGTGGGTCCAGCTGCAGGGGAGGCGACACTTTAAGGCTTCGACCGCCCGGCAGAATTTTTGCAAGTGCCCCACCAATGCGATTGACCTCACTGAACACCTGCAGGTCACTATTGAGCCCATGAGTTTGTTTCTCAGTCTGAAATTGCTTCTCACATTTTACCAATTTCAACCACCAAGATGCCCAGGGAAGCCGAGCCGTCAGCAAATGAAAAGGCCTTTGTCACACAAGCTCTTAAGGAGAACTTGAGACTTGATGGCCGGGAATTCGATCAATATCGAAAAGTCCAGCTCACTTTTGGCGATGAATATGGAGTGGCCAACGTTGAACTCGGCAAGACGAGGTCAGTAACTCATGAAGTTATTCTTCACTCACCAGGTCCAATTTTGCTAACCACCATCACAGAGTCCTCGTCAAAGTCTCCGCAGAAGTGACGGTCCCCTACCCAGACCGCCCCTTTGAGGGCGTCTTCCAAATCACCACCGAGCTCAGCCCCATGGCCTCCCCAGCCTTCGAGGTCAACCGCCCAACCGAGGCCGAGGTCCTCCTCTCCCGCCTCCTCGAGAAGACGGTCCGCCGCTCGGGCGCCCTCGACACGGAATCCCTCTGCCTCGTCGCCGGCAAAAAGGTATGGTCCGTCCGCGCCGACGTCCACATCCTCTCCCACGACGGCAACCTCACCGACGCGGCCTGCCTCGCCGTCATCGCCGCCCTGCGCCACTTCCGCAAGCCCGACACCTCCAACGAGGGCGAGAGCCTCACAATCTTCACCCCCGCCGAGCGCGAACCCGTGCCCCTGAGCTGGCTGCACAGCCCCTTTTGCGTGACGTTTAGCTTCTACGGCGACGAGGGCGAGATTACGCTCGTCGACGCAAACTGGCTCGAGGAGCAGCTGCGGACAAGCAGCGTGACGGTCAGCCTGAACAAGCACGGCGAGATTAGCCAGATTTCCAAGTTGGGAGGCACGCCCGTCGAGGCGGTGACGCTGCTGCACTGCGGCAACGTGGCGTTGCAAAAGGCGAAGGAGTTCTCGACGATAGTGGACGAGAGGTTGGCGGACGACGCGAAGCGTAGGGACAAGGGCGGTCTCATATCAGAGCTTCTGTCGGCGGAGAATGACAGAGTGGTGGACGCATAGAACACGGCCAGTCAAGCAGAGGAAGATTAACCAAAAAAATGTAAAATGATACCCAGCCAAATACGCTCTCAAAAACCCATGCTCTGCAAGAAGAAGCGAAGTGACCAACGTGGCTTCACCCGTTCGTCCCTTGACTTTGAGCCTCCAACTCCATCTACGCCCAGTCTAAAAAGAAGTTCCCGTGTACTATCATGCCTCGTAAATGACGACAAGCCAGCGACGACGTCTACCGCATCACCGGCGGCCTCGACTCCTTATTCCACTTCACTCGCGACCGCACCCACTCCACCGCCTCCTTGACACCCGTCCCCGTCAGCGCACTAACAGGCAACACCCTCGAGTCGCGGATACTGCTCGCCTTTTCGCCCTCGAAGACCTTCTTCACGAGCCCCTCCTTGATCCTCACGACCTCTACGCAATCCTCCCGGTCCTGCTTGTTGGCCAGCACCAGAACGGGCACGCCCTCGGTCTCGGAGTGCTGCAGCACGTCCTCGAGCACGAGGCGGCACTCGTCCAGCCGGCCGGAGCCGTTGTCGTGCTCGAGGTTGCCGTCGCCAATGTCGGTCGAGTCGATGATGAAGACGATGGCATGCGCCGAGGCGTAGTAGCTCTGCCACAGGCGGCGCAGCGAGTGCTGCCCGCCGACGTCCCAGATCTTGAGGTACATGTCCGGCAGGGATATCGTCGAGACGTTTTGGCCCACCGTCGGCACGGTCTTGAGTTTCGGGTCCGGGTGCGACTCGAGGAAGAAGTGCTTGACTTGCTCGTGAAAGGTTGTCTTGCCGGCATTGTCGAGGCCGAGGAGGATGACGGAGTACTCTGTGGAAGGGGGAGAAGATTAGCTATGGAAACTGGCCGTGGACAATGGGTTTGTGGTTCATCATGCGCGAACCTTCTTTGCTAGTAGCTAGGAGGTATAACCCCTTGGCTAGGTGATACATGGCAGGCAAACGGCCGACTGGCGAGCGGCACCTGGTTTGCGACTATTTCAACGAGCGAGGTTCTGGGGGATCGTTTGGGGCCGGGATAGGTGGAGGGTTTCGAAGGCGGCGCAATTGGCGGGATGTGGATGGAGGAAGTGGATGGAGGAAGTGGATGGAGCTCGTCCACACGAGCTGGAGCTCAAACTTGCGTTGGAGCTTGTGCTGGCCTGTACTCCGTAGCGCTGACACGCTGTCCGCTACGTGGGTGGTGGGGGGTCCATACAGGGGTTTCAGGGACCTCCAGCTAGTGTCGGCGGCTCCTCAGCCCTACGGGCCCGGGCAGGCACGGCTCCGTTGCTGTTGTCTCCTCTACTGTCACGTAAGGCGCAAATTCCATTTGGTTGAGGACCTTGATGTCACACGACACTTGCTCAGGGCAGATAGATACCGCTCATTCTTCAAGTCATAAAAGTAAGAGATTTCTGATGATGACAACCCTCCTCTCGTCACTCTTCTGCATCAGCTTGACGTCTATCGCACTTCTGATGAAGTCACTTACTCACTCAACCTCAGAGTGCTACTAACGCTAAGCTCATAGTCAACTCTCCCTACTTGGAATCCCAGAAAACACCCAAAAATATGCGGGCGAGTCTATTTATTATGTCTATCATGACGTCTAAACACATTCGCGATCACAACCCCCGGGAACAGCTCCACCACCCTTCTCACATCTTTGGCGTAGTAGTCGCATAACCCTCAACAACAGCAGTCATCAACCGGTTGGCAATAGCCGCCGGGGGAGGCAACCTCAGCCCGCCCTCCTTGTACCCCTCCGGCGCAGGCTCGCCGAGCCCGCTAACCCCAAACTTGAGCGCGTCTCGCACCGTCTCGAGCGGGAACCACTGCGCGTCCTCCAGCTCCGGGTCGTTGCCGAGGTCAATCGTCTCGCCGTCGGGCAGCGCCTGCGCGATGGCGCCAATCATCAAGCTCGCCGGGTACGGCCACGGCTGGCTCGAGTGGATCACCACCCGGCCCACGCGCACGCCGGCCTCCTCGAGCACCTCGCGCCGGACGGATTCCTCGATGGACTCGCCCGGCTCGATGAAGCCGGCCAGCGTGCTGTACCAGTTGGGCGGGTACCGCTTGTTCCGGCCCAGGAGCACCTTGGTGCCGTCCGAGGACACGACGGCGGCGATCATGGTCGGGTCCGTACGAGGGAAGCTGATGTTGGAGACGCCCTTGCGCGTGGCGCACTCGGCCCGCTCGCGGGGTGTGTCGGAGCCTGCGAGGTCGGTGGTGGGACACAGGCGCTTGTAGCCCGTGTTGCCCGACAGAGACGGCTGCCCGCACCCGGCGCAGAACTTGTTGCGCGTGTTCCAGTCTGCGATGGAACGGGCCTGGGCGTAGATGCCAGCTGACAGTTGCTCATTAGTTTGACTGATATACAAACCGCTTGTTCATTTGCAAGAGGTAAATCCTTACCATGATCCGGCTCGAGCGTCATCGGTCTCATTCCCTCGAGGAACTTGTACCCCTTGCTCGACTGAGCCTCGATAAGCTGGTTGGCGGCATCGGCGTAGGAGCCCTTGGGCGTCACGTCAACAGCGAACCACGGCCGTCCCTTGAGCCCCTTGTACTCGAACGGCACCTTTGCGCTCTCCTCGAGACCCAGGAAGATGATGAGCGGCTTCGTGACCGTCGAGTCAAAGTTCTTGATCAGATCCTCCTCGGACGGCCCGAACGGGTCCTCAGTGGTGAGGGGCTTGACATCGTCGTACGAGACAAACTGCACTCTCGTCGGGGCGCTGGTGAGGGGGCTGAGGTCCTTGAGGAGCATGAATTTGGTGTCCTTTGATTGAAAGGCGGACCGGATAAAGGTGTGGTCGGTACGCAGCCAGCCGACGCGGTTGAGGACGCTGCCGGCGAAGTAGTTGACGGTTTCCCGCCCGAACTTGCGGGACAGCATGGAGTCCGGGTCGTCGACTGGTGCGGGGAGGTTCCAAGTTTGAGAACCCATGCCGAGGTTTCCTGGGTTTCTGGCTCAAGCGGGCGGTGAAGCTATCGCGGGGTCCTTGGGTTTTACGTGGGGGTTTCGGGGTGACTGGCGCCGATGTAGGATGTGTATGACGTATACTCCGTACCAAAATCAGAAAAGCAGTGAGTGCAAGTTTCTACAATAAGTTGATGTTAGAAAGACTGGAGGCGTCTTAAAGTGTGAGATATCTGAAAGACGTGCGGCAGAGACGGCAGCGGCAACGGACTGGCCCGGCTGATTAATCAGATTGACGAGGGACGGCAGAGAAAGATGGGGGACACCAGAGACGCAATGCGATGGATCTTGGAGCTTGTCACGGTGAATCACGACTCGCCGCTGAGCTCCGATAAATGGAGCCCCCTCCGGCAGATCCCTCCTCCCCCACACCAGGTGCGATTAAGAGATCGACTGGTCACCGTCGGGTCAGTGTCAGTGTTAGTGTCCGGACTTGTTACGGTGTTCGGAGCTACTGGACAGCCCGTGCGTGGCAGCTGTCTTACGAGCCTTTGTATTGGAATACCTCCATGATCATTGGGTATGATGTGGAAGGGGAGCTCTAATGGGTGCTCGTTGGGCAGCTGTCAATGCGACAACTTGGATGTAAGAGAGATGAGGATGCACTTAAGCTTATCCAATCGCCTTGGGCCCCCCTGAAGTCGCCCACGCGGCGGCTTAGATCTTGCCGAGGTGCAAGGAAGTGTTTAGTCATCATCGACTTCCTCTCACGATCACAGCCATACTCCTGACTGAAAACCTCACACTAACGAGCAGTCGAATCTCCGGGAGCAAGACTGGGAATTTTCTGCCGCTCTGTTCCATGCAATCAACATCGGCTGGAAAATTTAAGATCTCGTTTGCTGTTAGTCTTCAGCTGACATGAATACGAAGAAACAGGATCTCAGTGTAGGCAATGTCGCAACCTTGGCTTCTGCATTGTGGGTGCTTCCTTTGCTCACCATCGACTCAAGGTATACCAAAGGCACTTTTGCGCTGATTTCTTCAGACGTTCTACCTCTCTCGAAACCAAGAGACAGCGCCTCTTGGTATCTATATTTTCATTGATCTCTTCGTCCTCTTCTCAACACCACCTGTTGACGGATGGAATGAAATAGCTGAACTACCCATCAGCGACACTGCTCATATCACATCAATTCTGACAACCTTTCTGATGACTTTTGATTTGTATTCAATCAAATGATACTGACAATATCAGCCGTCAGGCGGCAGCAAACATCACAACAGTGGGATCCACGAAAGACTTGGCATCCTAGCCGCGTCAATACCACTGCAAGGGGCCCGGTACTTCAATTTAATGCCAGCATGTCGTCTCTGAAAGTATTTACGCTCGCTTGAACTCGCCATTGAGGATCGATATCCGATTCGATCTGTCTCTCTAGTCACTCTAAACCAGAGAGGGCAGTATCTAATGACGCTGAATCTTGACATCGCTCCAAGTCTCCGTTGCTTCTGACAAGGATACTGATAAAAGAAGAGACGAGACAAGCACCCAAGATGCCTAATCTCTAGCTCTAGATAGAGAAACATATGGAAGAAGGCCGTACTAGACCTTTGCCCAAAACGACCCTCCCACGCTCTTCCTCTTCGCCTCCCTCGCCAAGAAAATAAACACCATCCCCAGCATCAAGCTACTCCCCGCAAACATCTGCGCACCCAAATACCTACCACCCAAAACAGAAACCAGCGCCCCGGCAATCGGCGGGCCCGTCAACACGCTCATGCTCACAATCGTAAACACCATGCCGATCCGCGCCCCCTGCTTCCTCGGATCGTCCGTCAGCGACGCCAGCGCAGACGGGAAGAGCGCCTGGATCCCTCCCAGCGCGATGCCGCTCAAAGCGGCCCAGACGTAGAGAGCCGCCCGCGAGGAGGAGGAGGAGACGGCGATGGGCAGCGCCGCCCAGGAGTACGCCAGGGCCGCAGCAGCACCGGCGGTAGGGACGAACATTGTCAGGTTGCCGACGCGGTCTGCGAGGCGGTTAAGGACGAGGCGGCCGAGGATGCCGACGCCGTTTGTTATCATGAGGAGTTCAAGGGAGGTGTCGTAGGAGGCGCCTTGGATGTCGCGGGCGTAGGCTGCGAGGAAGAAGAAGACGATATATGATGCCCAGAAGCACTGCCCAGTTCAAAACAGAGGTCAGAATTCATTTGGTATTCAGGGGTTAGTCACTTTGGTGACTGAACAGAATACAGAAGGAGAGAGAAGCCTTTCTAGGGAAATCAACGCACCAGAGATGCTCCCACGGCATAGAAGGTATACTCCAAGTCCTTGAACGCCGCCCACTCCACCAAGTTCCCCGTCTTGCGAGGCGGCACCCTCGGCTTCAGACACGACAGCGCGGTACCCAGTGCGGCGGCCTGGACGAACCCGAGCGTCCTCATCGTCCAGCCGAACCCGGCACGGGGCAACATCTTCCGAATAACAATAGGAAACACCACGCCCCCGGCCCCGCTCCCGCAGGCCGTGATCCCGATCGCAAAGGAGCGCCGCTTGGCAAAGTACGTCGAGACAAGGGCAACGGTGGGACAGAAGAGGCACCCGTTCCCCAGGCCGACGCAGACCCCCTGGGCGAGCAGGAGCTGCCAGTACTGCGTGCAGGCCGAGGCCGCCAGGTTGCCCGCGACGACAAGGACGGAGCCGGCTGTCGCCACGAGGCGGAAGTAGCCCGCGTCCGTGAGACGACCGGTGAAGGTGCCGATGAAGAAGAGGAGGAAGATCTCGACAGATCCGATCCAGGATATGTCTGAGGGGCTGCGGTCGAGGGTTTGGATGTAGTAGCTCTGGAAAGCGCCAAAGGAGTTGATCATGCCCCTAACATCGTGCTTCTTAGTTATTTGGTTGAGAAAGGTTTGTGGTCTCAAGGATCATACCATGTATTCATAACGACGAGGAAGGTGCCAAAGACTTTTCAATATGGGAAAGGTGAGTGAATGGAGCTTTCCCAGTGCAAAAACTTTGGGTCTTGATACAACTTACCACACAACCAAGCCCTCAACCCGCCATCAGGTGGTGGTCCAGGGGTTATGGTCGATGGTGATGTTACTCTACTCGCGATACGACTTATAACACGATCAACTCCATTAGTTGACTGGTTTGGCAAGCTGGTAACCTCGCCCTGATGATACGTGTTGTACGTGGCAGAGTTCCTTCGGCTGTCGAGGTCGGTCGACTCCAGTTGCAGCTCGCTCTTGACGCCATGATCTTCTATGTCACCCGCTTCGAGTTTCCTCTCGTTGTTATCAGACCCGACTGGGCCACTGGTTGTTGTGTTGGACATTGCTTCGTTGAAGCTGTTGTTCTCTGAGCCTTGGGGTTCAAGGTGTGTGCACTGGAGGCAAATGAATAATAATCACTTTTAACGATTTCTTAGAAAATCTGAAGGGGGACGGGGAAAACCCTCTCTGAGGAGCACACTGAGCTTTCTCCCCCCAAGAACCGAGGATAATTCACCGGCAACTAACACCCGCTCCTGTGGTTCAAATTGGTCAGCAGGGAACCCGAGCCAACTGCGGGATCCCTTTCCCCTTTGAGCAATCTGTCTGGCAGTTTGATGACAAATTTAGGTCACAGATAGCGCGATTGACCCAACATGTACTTCATTCTAAGAGCACCCCTCTGCTCTTGAGTTTCAACACTGTGTCAACTGGATTGGCTTATGGGCCGTATACGGAGTTCAGTCAGGTAACAGCGTCCAGCTTGGTTTTGTTACCATTTGTTCGATCCTTGGATTGTATCTGCTGGCCAGGAGGTATTGGTGCCAAGGAGGTAGCAGCGCCAGCGTCATTAGTCAGCACTATTGTTCATTGCACAATCTCACCACCAAATTGCCAACTGCCCCAGCCACATTCATCTTCCGTCTACAGGTACTGGCATACGCTCTCGAATATCTCATCAGTGGCTGTACACGTTCGGCTCCTCACTGAGAGGATCCTACACCACTTCATCTCTACAGCACATCCGCACACATAACTGACTAAGTCATGAACAATGACGGAAGCAGGGAGCCGCCGAGGAAGCGTCTACGTTCAGCACAGCCAACTCGTCGGGGGAGGTCTCGTGGTGCGCGTGGCGGCTCCGTGAACCCCAGTACTACCAGAAATGAGTCAGATGAACTCGATCATCAGCCAACAGAACAAAAAGCACATGAGTCTGAAAGCTCAGTTGACCCACGAGCGCTTCCCATCCCCGCTGCTCTGGAGAGATACAAAGCTTGGAAAGGTATGAAAGTTGAGACTTCTTGCTGTGGTAGCCTATCTACTAACAAGTATATGGGGAGCAAAAGAGGCCGGAGCGCAGCACGATGAATTCTGCTTCATTTGCCGGCGGACCAATGGTCTGACGTATTGCATCACTTGCAAGAGATCGTACCACGAGTCTTGCAGGCCCGAGGAGAGCACTTTTGCTGCCATTGAGGGCAATGATTGCTTCTTTTGCGAAGTTTGCGTCCACCGGAACTGGCACAAAAATCCACCGTTTCTGATGCCGGAGATGCGGCCTTTGCCTGCTTCTTCATTATCATCGGCCCCTGCGGAGGCAGCTGAGGTAACGGGAGCTACGCCCTCGACCGAGGAAACGGCTCGGCAAGATCTATCAAATTCCCACCAAGTTCGCCAGGAGCAAGAGACAAATGGGACGACCGAGGCACCGAGATCCACGCCCCGAACGGCGGCCAGGAGGACTCGCACGACCAAAGCATCACACTCAGCCGCGAGAGAAGAAACAGCAACAGGCCCTCCATCTAGCACCACTCGCACCGAAATCAACCCCCTACCTCCGCCGGCAACAACAATAGCCTCGCGAGATGAACCGGCCCGTACCAGCTCATCCACAGCACGGGCGCCGGCCGCGCGCAAATCCCGCTACACGACCCTCCCGACAGACGTCGACGCCGCGCTGCGTCTTCTGTACGCCGAGCTCGAGACGGCCCACGAGCTCCGGCACAAGGTCGGCGACGTCGAGAGCCAGGTCGCGCAGATGCAGCGGGAGCTCCAGCTGCGCAACAGCGAGCTCGCGGTGGCCAGGCGGGCGGCGGACGTGGGCCGCGTCTCGGCGTCGGAGATGGAGCAGTTGCGGGCGCAGGCTGCGCTGGGGGAAACGGCTGTCGAAGAGGCGGCTGGGTTGAGGGCGGAGAATAGGAGCTTGCGCGCCGAGTTGGAGGTGAGTCGGGAGAAGCTGGTTGAGAGTGAGCGGGCGCTGGAGGAGTGGAAGCGGAAGCTTTCGGCGTTGATGTCGTAGTAAGGGGGAGTGGGGGTTCAAGGCATGCTTCCATCTAGAAGGGAAATTTGTAATCAACACCTTTGTACAGATATCCTGGTGAGGGTTTTAAAACCAACAAGAGGTACGAATATGTATGGGGGAGTGCCTCATAACTCGTAATTATGCAGACCATTCACGCCATGCCAGTCTGTCTGCTCCTGATCCCGGGTTGTGGATTAGGGGGATTTGCGGGCTGTTTCTGACCGCTCATGTCGAGCGCGCCCTGGATTCCTGCGTGAGAAATTTGTATCCCGGCAAGACAAGATCAGACTGTCAATGACATTGCCGGGCTCTCTGAGAGAATGTCTTGCACACTGTGTCGAGACTCTCCCGCCCAAGCCCCCTGATAACAACAATACCACTTTGCTGACCAATTTCAGGAAGCCAAGCAAACGGCGAGTGGGCTCTTCTACATCAACGCCATTTATTATTGATACACCCCCGAATCAATGGATGAACCTACAGCATGAAGTCGTACCCTATTCAACCGAGAGTCCGTCCCCGGTTCCGGTCCAGAACCTGGAATAGGAGTTTGTTGTGGCCGAGCCCGTGTTCGTCTGGAAAGATTGGTCATCCTACTTTTCCTTCCCCCGCGGCAAGCGTGAGTTCCCCTGTGTGAGATGCTTCTGGGGCATGATCTGTATAGGTGTTACCGTGGTCCAGTGGTGAAAGGGATCAACAAACCCGATTCACACAGGTTGAAGTATGTGTACTGTGTGTGCTATCTGGGTCTGCTCGGGACGTTCATCTAATCGGTGGAAGTTTCGTTGGCTGTACCGTATCGCTGCGCCAGTGAGTTCACTCCAAGTCTGAAATTTGTCATCCGTTGTTCGACTCAGCTGGATAGTGGTGATCACCGCCGTCTTGCTTCCTTATTTTATATAAATAGTCTCATTACTTACTGTCTGATGGCGAAAATTCGATCTTTCTATATCATCCAGCTTTGCAACATCCCAGATTTAGCTTCTCCGAAAGTCCCAAACTCAAGAACCCAACCCAAACATCATCATCATTACCATGGCCCCTCCCACCACAGCAATCGTCCTCGTCGACCCCTACAACGAATTCCTCCACCACGAGGGCAAAATCTACCCGTCCGTGAAAGAATCCCTCGAGGCGACGGGCACAAACGACAACCTGCGCACCCTCGTCGCCGCGGCGCGCAAGCAGAAAATCCCCATCTTTTACGCCCTGCACAAGACGTGGAAGGAGGGAAACTATGCCGGGTGGACGCACCTCACGCCGTCGCATAAAGGTCTGGCGGCCGCCAAGGGTATCGCGGAGGGCAGCTGGGGCGCGGAGATCTTGGAGGGGCTTGAGCCGGATGTGGTGGGGAACGGGGACGTTATTGCGAGCCGGCATTGGAATAACAGGTGAACCACTTCGTCTGGAAGGAAAAGATCGAGTGTTGACTGTGGTACAGCGGATTTGCCAATACCGATTTGAACTATCAGTTGCGGCAGAGGGGTGTCACGCACCTCGTTATGGCGGGCATGATTGCCAACACCTGTCTCGAGTCCACGGCGCGGGATGCGAGAGAGCTGTAAGTGAAAAAAAAAAATGAAAAAAAAAAAAAAAAAAAAGAGATCTGAAGAGAGGAAATCGACTGACAATACGTGCTTCGGCGGATGTGCAGTGGCTTCCATGTTACCCTTTTGTGAGTTCTCCAAGGCGTTGCTGTGTGTGCAAGTATTCTTCTTTTGCTGACATAAGGTACCTACACCAGGTCCGACGCGACTGCCGGCTTCAGCACTGCGGTGAAGGATGCCGCGACGAACCTCATCTGGCCGCTGATTGTAGAGAATGTCACAACGGTTGGGGACTGGGTCCGTGAAAGCGAGACCAAGGCCTAAGATAGTCACGTAGCCTGATTCATGGCTTGTCTATAATATGTATGCAGTGATGAGCTAGCATAACGGCTGCAATAAGACGCCACTTTCATACCCAGTGTTCGTGTACGTTGTGAGATGGGAACAGTGCAGACAGCGACGGCCAAATTGGTCAGCAGCGATATGGTGGAGCTTCGTCCGTCTGATTAGGTAAGGTGGTGCCTGTCTTCACGGTTGGACCTTTTGTGGTGGAGACGAGTCCAAATCCGAGCTTGCGCCGGGGTTGCATGTAATCCTCCGAGCCAAGTTGCGGTCTGCCTCTCATGAGGTAAGTATAGGTAGGTACTTCAGATCACATTCCGCTTTCAAGAACTCTGGTTAAGATCCAGGCTGGTTAAGATCCAGGAATTAGTAGGGAAAGTGAGTCTCCTCAATATCGGATACACGTGGTATAAAGTGTGAAGAAGGCCTGCCTGAAAGTTAGGCGAAGCTGAAATGCACACCCGGACAGCTCAAGCAGCACCAAAGGATGGCCAGCTAGGTAGGTACCTGTCGATGAAAAAAAGTGGACGTTTCAGCGCATGGTTAGCGCTCGATTCCCCCGCATTTTGGTTCCCTCTTCCGGCGTGGTCGGTGACGTCGTGGCCAGTCGCTAAAATCCCAGCTGAGAGAAAACTTGCCAGCGCACGTGGACTCGGATGGCGCGAGCGGCGACCGAAAAAAAAGGGCCCTGCAAATTGCTGGTGGTGATTTTCGCGAATGCAAATGTCTCTCATTTCAGGTGGCATGCATAGAGAGGGAAAAAAAAAAAAAAAGTCTTCCTACCTTCATCGTCAGACTTTCGGAGGGACAGAACAGAACTTTCTCCTCCATCTTTTTCCTTACCCCAAAGCCATTGTTGCCGGTGCGTCTTGGATGAGCGCTTACCTGGCATTTTGTTTGTAGAATTGATCTCCATCTAGTCGTTTAATCTTTCTTTGTCCTAGAAAATCTCTGTTCACTCTTATAGCTTGCATCCACCGATACCTACTCCTCCTCTCCTTTCGTTAATCCTCTTTGGCCGCCGCATTTCCCACCCCCCTCCGAAATCGCATCATGGCGCCCCCTACCGCACCACTCAACCTCGACGTTGAGGCCATATCTGGCATTTGCGGGTAAGCACGATCTTTGCAATTCGTCCTCAAATCGATCAATTGCATCCCTCAATGGCTCACACAATGCGCATAGCTCCATCTCAATCGCCTGCTGGGTCGTCGTCTTCTCCCCCCAGATTCTCGAGAACTTCCGCCGCGGCAGCGCAGACGGTCTCTCGCTGCAATTCATCATCGTCTGGCTCGCCGGCGATGTCTTTAACATCCTGGGCGCCGTCCTCCAGGGCGTCCTCCCTACCATGGTCAGTCACCTTCACCAGAAAGAGAAATCCCTTGCAAAGCAGAAGTCGCTGCTCCAGCCAGCCAGCCCATGCTGCATCAAGAACCCCCGGCTGACGCTATGACTCCTACCCCTTAGATCATCCTCGCCATCTACTACACCATTGCCGATATGGTCCTCCTGGCCCAGTGCTTCTACTACAGGGGCTTCACCTGGAAGGACGAGGTCGTGCCCCCGGCCCCGAAGCCGCGCAACCGCACCGGCGAACCAAACGAGCGCACCGGCCTCCTCCCCAACCCCATCGTCGAACGCGAGCGCAGAGGCTCAGACTGGTCCAACCTCTCCCCGGCCGTACCCATGCGCCCCGAGACCGGCGTCGCCCCGGCCCCTCCCCCGCGACCGTCCACCGCCCTCCAGGCCATCGCCTGGAACACCACCGCTGTCCTCATGGTTTGCGCCGCCGGCGTCGTCGGCTGGTTCCTGAGCCGCAAGTACTCCCCCCACGCCGAGGAACCGGGCAACCACCACCAGCCTAACGACGACGACGACAATACCCTGACCTTCAACACCCTCGGCCAGGTCTTTGGCTGGCTCTGCGCCGTCTTCTACCTCGGTTCCCGCCTGCCCCAGCTCCTCCTCAACTACCGCCGCAAGTCCACCGAGGGCGTGAGCATGCTCTTCTTCCTCTTCGCGTGCCTCGGCAACCTGACGTACGTGCTGAGCATTTTTGCCTATGACCCGCGCTGCAAGCACGATGAGTGCGCACCGGGCGAGGCGAGCGCTATTTACGGCCGCTACATGCTCGTCAACCTGAGCTGGTTGGCGGGCAGTCTGGGGACGTTGTTGCTTGATATGGGCATCTTTGCGCAGTATTTCATGTACCGCACCGACGAGTTTGCAAGCGACGACGAAGAGGAGGGTGATGATGAGAGCATTGACGAGGATCAGTGGGATCAGCGGCCGTTGCTTGCTCGCGGTGACTCTGTTTACCCGTAAGAGCGGTTCATGAGAGGGCACTTTTTTTTTTTGTTACCGGTTTTTGAAGAATCACATTTGTGACATTTTACCATTTATCTAAGGCGTCCTTGATACACGGAAAGAAAAAGGGTTGGTGGTCATTGTTTTACTATAAAAGTACCTATCGCATTACAGGATCAAGAATCAAGAGACTTGGAGGTAAAAAGGTGGTTACTTTACCGCCACGGAAAATAAAAAGGGGCAGTGGCCGGGGGCAGCCTCAGGGGAGGATACGAGCTGGCTGTTGTACAATAGAGGCAGCAGCCTCGAGAATCATGCGAGGTCGCAACAAAGCTAGATCTACAAATCATTCCTTTCACCTGTCACGCTCGGACGAGGAAAGCTCGTGGCGTTGTTGTTGTTGAGACTTCTCACTCTCTCTCTCAACCTTCCGCGCCATGAGCTCGACCCCAGGTGGTTTCTTCATCGTTGGACGTTGTACGTTGAACATATCACTTACTACCAACAAAAAACCAAAAAAATTTAGATCCTTCATCCTCTATCCAACTAGTTGATTCTTCTAGCCTCCGTGATGACCACCAATCACAACCACCCAAGCCTCTTCCACACGAACGTAGCACCCCCCACGAAGGCCGTAACCCCCGTAAACACAATCAACGTCCCATACCCGCTCCCGTACCCAAACCCGGCCTCCCCCGCCCACGGCTTCCCCTGCACCAACACCCCGCTCAACGGTCCCGAAATCACGTTCCCGACCCCGCGCCCGGCCGCCAACATGCCAAACACCATGATCGGGTCCACGCCCCTCCCGCGCTCCCTCTCGTGCTCCGTCACCGTCTTCATGATACCGGGCCAGGCGGAGGTATACGCGCCCGCAAAGAGGCCGTAGACGACGCAAAACAGATACAGCACGCCCAGGTTCAGCGATAGGCCCCAGAGCAGGAACGTGCCGACGGTGGCGCCGGCGCTGGCGAGCGCGATGCACGACGGCGCGGACCAGCGGTCGACCAAGGATCCCATCGCCACGCAGCCGACGACGGAGGCGACGTTGATGAGGAGGATGGTGAGGGCTGACGCGTAAGGGGACGCGCCGAGGGTGGATTGGGCGAAGGAGGGGAGGTAGATGCCCGGGAGGAAGAAGCCCAGGGCCTCGATTGTGTTTGCGGCCTGGTGCAGGAGAAAAGGGCGGGAGAGGAGGAAGCGCATGTTGTTGAACGGGCGTGCGTGCGTCGCGTCCGCCAATGTCGTTGAAGATATCGGTACACGCGGCTTGATGAAGAAGGCCAGCGGCGCGGTGAGGGCAAAGAGTAAACCGGACCAGAGACGCAGGGTTGTGCGGAAACCGAGGGTGCCGAGGAGGTACTCCATCAGTAAGGGGAGTAAGACGCCCGCGAGACCGGTGCCGGACCACATTATGCCGTAGGCGAAGCCCTTGCGGCGGACGAACCACTGGTCGATGTAGACGATGCAGGGCATGTATGTGATGCTGCCGCCTACGGCGTAGAGGATGCCCTGGGTGACGACGAGGTGGGTTACCGTGGTGGAGAAGGAGGAGGTCGCGAGGGCGATGCACATAATCAGGAGGCCTGCGATGGGCGCGTAGCGGGTTTGGCGGGGGTAGAGGCGGAGGAGGGCGGTTTGGAGGGGTCCGCCTAGGTACATTATCCCCTTTTTTTGTCAAGATGTCAGTTTTGGCTCTCGGGGTTGTGTCTCCTTACACGAGAGTTTCGAGATGGGAGGAAGAGTATCAGTGAGAAGAGAGGGGGAAAGAAGGGGGAAAGGGGGGGGGGGGGTGGTTACCATGGCGCAGGTACCGATGACGGCGATATTGGGCTGCCCGGCGAACGGCGGGTTCGTGGAGTAGTAATTCTGGAAAACGCCAAAGGCAAAGGGGAATCCCCAGACGAGCATCTCGACGGCGAAGCAGGCGGCTAAGAAGAGCCAGGCCTGTTTCCCGCCGTCGACGGGCGGGAGGGAGGAGAATTCCTGGCTCGCGCTGTGGGCGTCGTGGAGGACGCCATCGGCGGCGACGCCGTTCTCGTCGTCGCCGCCGCTGCTTCTGTTGCTGGTGCCGGATTCTGCTGCGGCGGTGGCGTATCGGTCACGGGTCGTCGTTGAGGCTGTCGCTTTTGAGGACTCCGGGACCGGGGCCGTGACTCCGGCATGCGGGGTGAGGTACTGGAGCTCTGTTTGTGAGGTAGACATGGTTGCGACGTTTTACTACACCACGATTCTCTCAGGAAGCAAGAAATGGATGACTCCAAGTCGTCCCCTTTTCAATTCTCGTACAAGAAAAAATGAGAAAGGAGATGTCGTTTGTAGGCTGGTGGAAGTAAAGCTTACCTATGTGAGGCCGGCGTCTTTTGGGCTTGAAGTCGTTGATCGGCTGGGGGCGGGGCGGGGAGACTTATCTCGGCGCGGGGAGCCCACTCTACGCCCTCCGATTGACTCGTTGACAAGGGTTGACGGGCGGGCGGGCTAAATCTAGGTACAATGTTGGTTCTAGAAGGCGCACGCCGATCCGCGACAGGGAATCAGGTATCTTCATTCTAGGCCTTGGTCATTAGTTGTTGTATGCACAAATGGACGAAACCCAACGGTTGTATTCATCGTCACTGCTCGATTTGCCGTTTGCGCACAATTTCTCTATGCTTGCTGACGCAACCACTCTTAGTTATCGAGACATGGGGAGGAGGGGTGTCTAATTTTTGGGCGATATACCTAATTACTAATCTCACAAATTTGGCAAGTATTCTCGAGATGCTATCATTAGACTCTAGAGTGATGCCAAGCGAGCGCTGACCCGGGGGATCTCTTGACCGGCAATGTCGGCGGCACCTCAGGCTCTGGCGGGTTGCTTCCTGCCGAGACACTCTCGTTCGGTTTTCAGGCACTCGGCGCCGTGAGATCCGATCCGCTGACCGGCACCGGCTCCGACCCTGCCGAACGCCGGCCGTCACTTCAACATGCCCCCGTTCTGACCGCTTCAAGCTCCAATGGCCGGGGACTCTGCAGTCAGCCTTGCGGAAGGTACCTTGGGATGCCCCCAATCAACAAAGTCTGCCCAATCCCCTGCATATCTCGGCAAAGATATCCGTCCTCTTCACCGCAGACAAAGGAGATTTATCGGCACAACGGGCCGAGGATTCCCAGCTCAAGCAAATACGTGTTGCAACTCCTTTTTTCGTACCTGATACGGGTGTAAGGTACGGTCACGCAGCCGCCTTGGTAGCCCAGGCAGTGAACATCCATACAAACCTCCATCTACAGTCCGACCCTCAGACGTCCTGCATGCTACGCCTCGCACCCTTCCCATTGAACTCTCCATCCAAAGTGTCACCGTTTCGGATTGGGGACAAAAAATCCCACCAAACCCTTTCTAGGCTTCCACCTAAATCCCGGTACATGATCCCCCTCGCCCACGTTTTTTTCCCCCTCGGTGGCGGGAAGAATGTTCTCAAAACATCCTTCGCTACGACGCCAGAAGCAGAATGTCTCTCCTGAATCGTTTCGCTCGTCTGAGCCTTCTGAGGTGACGGGTAGAATAAGAAACCGCTCGAGCCGAGGCTGGTTGGGAGCAGAAGGAAAGGGGGGGGGGGGGTTCATGGTTCCCGCGTATATATTTCTGAGGCCCGAAAATAGTCCATGGACCCTGTAACCCTGCATTATCTAAAGTAATGGCAACCAACCCGCACATACGGATACCACGTCAGATCGCGCTCGGGTTCGGCGCGGGTTGGCTGTGGCAGGCCGCAGTCGTCACTCCGTCCCGCACGTTCTCATCAACTGGCGAACGAACGAGTCAGCGTTGCGCGATCCCGCGCGATCGGGTCCTCCGGGATCTTTTTTTTCTCAGTCCTTGGAATGTCACCGAAGCCCGGTGTGCCAGCGCAACGACTTTCTGGATGTGCGAACGTTGCGAAAACAATTAGGAAATAAAAAGAAAATGCGAAAGACTAGTAAGCCTTGCACTAGTTGGTGAACGGACTTGGATCCATCGCAGAGAAATAATGGAAACATCGGGCTCGTCTTCCTACAGTACCCGCACACGGCATTGCATTGCATTAGTAGACTCTCAACCAAAGGACGACGACTTGACACCGAAAAAAAAAAAAAAAAGAGAGAGCACATTTCATCCCAACTTCGCAGGCAACGCAAACACGGAATGCAAGGTCAGCAAAACAGAGTTTCCTATTTTCTTGCCTGCCTAATACCACTTCACCGTGCGACGACGCCTCAACCACTTTCTTCTCCATGACCATCGAACGCAAGCCGCATTCGGTATCCCTTTCCCCCCCCTCCAAAGGCTCCAATCCCCTTTGAAGATTTCCTCTTCCCCCAAACTGAGGTCATTCCACCCCCCGTTTGGCCCCATCCCAGGATCCCCCCCCGGGACACCCCAACACCATTTCAACTGCAGTTGCATAGCACAGCCAAAAGGTCAGGCGCAAGCCCTGTCTCAGCACAGTCTACAGGAAAGGATACCCCGAGTTCGCATCACGCTGCCAGCCAACACACACTCAAACCCGCGAATGAAGGCGAGAAAGAGCAAACAAGTGAAGCAGAACAGACGTATCCCGTAGATCGGTCGGCAGCTTGAACCCTTCCACTTGAAAGGCACTTGAAATGAAAAGAAACCCTCAAACACACCGAACGAAGAGTCCCCCTTCCATAAACCCCCTCCCAAGATGGAGGGACCGCCTGATCTAAGCCTCGTCCCATCCTTGCAACTGTCCTCAACCTCCCTCGCAATCAATGTGCCGCTTCGAGGTGACTCTTACACGCCGGGTGTCGTAGGTACAGAGGGATCCCCCCCCCCCTCTCCCTCGTCTACATACATCTACGCAGAAACTCAACGTGCGGGGATATACTGCGCAAGGTAGACAAGACAAGGTATGTACTTGTAGAGACCCAGAAAGAGAGAGAAGATATACCAAAGCCTGTCAGCCCACGGTCGTCAATCTGGTCCCTTCCCCCCCTCCGCCCCTGCTGCTTTGCCTTGCACCTGAGCGCCAAGCTGCGGCCTCAACTCCAAAGTCTGCCTTTCTTCATCATGCAGGAAGAGAGAGAGAGAGAGAGAGGGGGGGTGAAGGGGTGGCCCCCGGACAAAACCATGGGCCACGCACCCTCTCAAACTTCGGGTTCCTAGATAACTTTCTTCCTCGTGCCCTGTCACTGTTTTTTTTCTCTCCTGTTGGTTCCCTTTTTTAAATAAAACGATTCATCGCCTGTTTTGATGTTCACTGTGGCTTGGGTTCCAGGTGTGATTTGTTTTGTCTTCTGCACACACCTACAAGGCGACGTCAACTCGACTTAGACACCACACACACACACACACACACACATGACCTTCGTTTTCTGTCAACCACGAGACGAGTCAACGATTTCCGGAGAGAACTCGCGCGCAGATTTTTTACAAAGTCTTCCGGTCGAATACGTACAAACGTCAAAGAACGATTTTCTGCCTTTGTAATCCTTAATCACACACACACACGCCCGCGCAGAAGCAATGTCGTCCCAGATCGAGTACAATCAGATGCCAAGAGAGCCTGCGCCAGCCGTGCTCTCGGAAAACAAGATCAGCTCTCAGCAACCTGTATGTTCTCGCCCTCCAGTTCATCTTTCTATCCCCCCTTTTCCCACGATGACCCATCATCGTCGCATCGATTTTCGAATCAACCAAGAAAATCGCAAAAAGAACAAGACTCTCTCTCTCTCTCTCTCTCCCGAAACCCGAGCTAACCGGATAAACCTCGAAATCTATAGGGCCCGAATCAGCCAATGACGATGGATCAATCAGCGAACCTGCGAGGCGGCGGCGATGGCGGAGTAAGTTGAAACAAATCTCAAGCCAGGCCCCTACTCCCCCCCCCCCCCTCCCTTCCTTTGATATTTCTACGCCCATCTGTGATCCTGGTCAAATTCGAGAGAATCAGAAATGGAGAGCTGGGAAACGCGAGGGAGGATCCTGTTAACCGCCCACTCAAAAAGCACATGAATGGCTAACGTATAACTCTCTTCTCGATAGGCTGTCTGCTGCGGTCTCTGCGCCGGCCTCTGTTGCTACGAATGTTGCGAGTGCTGCTGCTGCTGCTGCTAGTGAGGGTTACGAAATGACTCTCAAGCCGGATCGCAACCTCTCACGTCCATGGCACTTTTGAGTGTCGTTCTCCCCCGAGGCACATCCGGATGTTTGATTAACGCAGTGGACGTTCCGCGCATCGTTTCTTCGCTTTCCGCATAGACCGAACGTCGTTTCGAGATGGGAGGGTGATATCGTAGACCGACCGAGATCTGGATGAATTCTCGTTGGAGAAATCCGCGAGAGAGAGAAGGAAAAGAGACGGAGAATAGCGTACGAGAGTTCCACATGGGATGAGGAAGGGATGGCTTGCGTGATCGAGTGATTGAACAGGGGGCGGATTCAGGCGCAAACATATACCAGGGCATTGAATTTCATGCCCGTGACAATTGTCACCTTTTTGTACGATTTTCAACTGTGTTTTTGAACAAATTACGAGTTTTTTTTCTCTCTTCTTCTTCTTTAGATACTCTCAGCTGTCTGTCTCGTCAGTATTCTCCTGACATGGTATCTCGACAACCTCTCGTTCTTCTCCCCTTGAACTGATTCCGGGGTGGCACGCCTCGTGCAACGTCGACGCTTGCAACTCCGGCATTACATCGAGATCTCGGAGCGCCTTTCTTCAACGCGAATCCGGATGCCACCCCCCAATCAAACTTTTTCATCCATATTTTTACAACTTGGAGCGAACGTCCTTGGTAGGCCTAGGGGGAAAAAGTCAGTATACACGTTCACAGGTCATCATCGTCAAGGCTCTCAGTCCCCGGGAAACGAAATAAAAAATAAAAAATTAACATACTCGGCAATCTTCTCCGTCTCCTTCATGATAGCAGCGCCGAGCTCGGGAGTCACCCGCGAGAACATCTCGTAGGCGCGCGAGCGGACCTCGGGGTGGGCGCCGGCGAGCGCGCCAGACACGTTGCCGACAAAGTTCTTCTGCTGGCCCTCCTGGCGGCCGAGGACCTTCCAGAGGCCGAGGGCCTGCTCGTAGTCCTCGGGCTTGACGGGACCGAAGAGGTCCGTGACGACGGCGCCGGCCCACTGCTCGTGCGGGGTGTTGACGGCCTTGACGGGCTTGTACTCGAGGGGGCGGAAGGTTGAGGAGTAGTTCTGGGGGGAAAATTAGTTCGGCTCTATTCAGTATGCAGATCCGGGGGGGGGGGGGGGGGCAAGGAGGTGACGTACGGGGTTCGCGCCGTAGTTGCCGTTGACGGCCATGGCGCCGTCTCTCTGGAGAGGGTTGAAGGCGTTGAGGGGCTTGTTGACGGGGATCTGCTGGTAGTTCACACCGAGACGGTGGCGGTGGGTATCCGGGTAGGAGAAGAGGCGGGACTGCAGGACGGGGTCGGCGGTGGGCTCAACGCCGGGGACCAGGTGGGAGGGGGAGAAGGCGGCCTGCTCGATCTCGGCAAAGTAGTTCTCGGGGTTCTGGTTGAGGGTGAGCTTGCCAAACTGGCGCAGCGGCACCTCGCTCTGCGGCCAGACCTTGGTCAGGTCAAAGACGTTCCACTTGAACTTCTCGGCCTGCTCCGGGGTCAGGGTCTGGACGTAGACGGTCCAGCTGGGGTGCTCGCCGCGCTGGATGGCCTCGAAGAGGTCCTGGGTGTGCCAGTCCGGGTTCTCGGACGCCATCTTGCCGGCTTCCTCGTTGGTGAAGGTCTTGTTGCCCTGGTCCGTCTTGAGGTGAATCTGGACGTAGACGAAGGAGCCGTCGGGCTTGGTCCACTTGTGGGTGTGGCCCGAGTAGCCGTTCATGTGTCTGTAAGAGTAAGGGGTGCCGCGGTCGGAGAATAGGTGCATCAGCTGGTGGATGCACTCCTGGTTCTTGGTCCAGTAGTCGAACTGGGAGGCTGAGTTAGATTGAGATTTGTAATGAGTTTCTGCATCTTAACGCTTACCATCTGGTTCAAGTTAGCTCAAGTCATCTCATGAGAGATTTTGGGGGTTTCAATACTTACCATCGTAGCATCCTTCAGGTTAGTCTGCGGGTGACGCTTCTGGGTGTGAATGAAGGGAGGGAACTTGACAGGGTCGCGGATGAAGAAAATGGGCGTGTTGTTGTAAACCCAGTCCCAGTTTCCCTCCTCGGTGTAGAACTTGACAGAGAAACCTCTGGGATCACGAGCCGAATCGGCAGAGCCCTTCTCACCACCAACAGTCGAGAAACGGGCAAGAGCCTTGGTCTTCTTGCCGACCTGGTTGAGCATGTCGATGGAGGAGATATCGCTAATGTCATGGGTGACCTCGAACTGTAAAGCCGCGCGCGCAAACGCCGGTCAGAATAATTCTCTCAAAATTCACCAAGCTCCATGCCTGTTCCAACATAACACAACCAGAAAAAAAAGCTCACGAACCTCGCCGTAAGCGCCGGCGCCCTTGGCGTGGACGACACGCTCGGGAATGCGCTCGCGATCAAAGTGGGCCAGCAGATCAATCAAATGAAAGTCCTGGAGCAGCAGAGGGCCCTGGGGACCAATGCGCTGCCACGCCTGGGGGTTCTCGACGGGGGCGCCATTGGAGGTTGTGTAAGTCGGCTTCTCGTTATACCGGTAGGTAGAAGGCTTCTCGTCCTCGGAACCCATCTTGTCAGCGGTTCTCGTTTCTCGTCGATTCGGAGATGTGAGAGATGGTTTGCGCTTCGAGAAAATGGCGTGGGATGCTTGCTAATGTCAGACACCAACAAACAGGAGCGGTAGATGGCAAGTCAGATCAAGAAAAGAGCAAATCAAAGAGGGTCTCCGGGGGGCGATCCAATGGAGGGAAGACGAAAACATAAATAATCTAAAGCTCCATGGCAGAGAGAAAAGAAATAGGACGATAACATAAGTGGGAGGGGACCCTCCTTACACCTCGGCCCCTCTCTCTCTCTCCTTCTCACTCTATCTCTCCCTCTTCCTCCTGTTTGCCCCAGTTTCCTCGGCTTCTGGAGCCCCATGAGCTCTGTCCTCCCACTCAAGGCGTTCAAGTTACGAAGCAGAAACCCCAGGACACGACGTAAGTCGCCCGGGCAAGGGTGGCTTTCCTCTTTGATTTCTGAAGCTTTGGTGGGACACACGGCCAATTGGAAGGCAGACGAATGCAAGCTTGGGTTGGCCGAGGTCCACAGAGAGCTCCATCTCGAGGTTTCCTAGCGTCCTTCAGCCACCCCTTGTTAACTCCACCTCTTGTTGCTGAGGTGGTGCAAAGGCCAGAAATGGTCGATTTTCTTGCTGCTTTTTGAGTGGTAGATCTGCTGTCTTTAGTGTTGCTCTAGAGGCAACTCCAATTCTGGACCCTTGGTTTGAGGCTCTGTTGTAACAACTAATTGGGTAGCGCGATGTTGCTGGACACTTTCAACCTTCAACAGCGTTATCGTGAACCCGAACGTTCCCATACTGACCACCGCCAACTTTCTCAGACATAACTCGCGTTTTCCGCCGCTCGGATTGGTCCGCTGTCTCTCCTGGCCCCTCCGACAACGGCGGGGGTTCCACCACCACTGCCCAGCTGGTCTCTTTTGCCAGGATACATCAGTCATGACCCAGTCTCTTGCTCTACCTCCCCAGATGTTGCGGGGGACTCTTTAGATTCCGTCAATGTCGGCATCGAGGAGAGATATCTCGATTCCAGCCCTTCTGCGATGCGGAGAAAACTCGCCGACAAGAAAAAAAAGGATGGGGCCTGGCATGGGATATGCTGGTGAAGACTTTGTCCATCAGGCCATTTACATGCACTTCAACGGCTAGGCTAGCCTTTGATCACTTTGAGAAAACGCCGAGGGTTGCGCCCCTCGGAAGCTCGCTCATGCTGGTTTCTACTTATTCAGACAGGTCTGCCATGCTCTTCACCCCCAATTACCGTAGCTGGACGTTACCTTGAATAAGCCTGCCGGAATGCGAAGGGTGTCCGGTATCCATCGGGGTTTGGATGAACGTCTAGCACCAAACTCTGAGAACTCTCAGAGCCCGGCTTCGGGGTTCAAAAAGTTGGGCTTCAGCCACTACAAGACGGCCCAGCAACGCCGCCTCACCGGTCTCAGACCCGCCCTCTGTTCACCTCGTGTCTTTTGCCCAAATCGGGAGAATGGAAATTTTTCCAATTCAGGAAGCATTGCTGAACTACCATGACATCATTGGTCGGGGCCAGAAAGGCAGTCCATGCCGGCGGCAGCCCATTCGCGGTGGCATTCCCCTGAGCTTCTCCTTGTGGAGCGAACATAAGGAATAGGGTTTATCGCCGAGATCGCAGGAGAGTGAGGACTACGGTACATATGCTACGGGAAAGTCGCGTTACCGAATCTTCAGAGGCTGTGGCTCTGAACCTCTACAACGGCATGCATGGCCGGCCGAGGCCCCAGGTTAAGCTGGTGTCTCGCGCTGTCACATGGCTTCAGCGCGCGTACTTGACAGCAGTGACAGGCTGGCATGTTGGCTCGGGTGGTGAACCGTTCGCCGTCGGTAGCGTTTCCGGGGACCGCCGCCGCGGGTTCTGCGTTTCTCAAGCGCCGAGAACGCCGAGATGCCAGACCTCGCATCTCGGCGATATCCCGGAGGCGTCCGGATTCCCGCGTTTGAGCACTGTAACAACATGCCTTCTATCTATCTAACAAATTCGCACTGAACCAGTCCTTTGAGTAGAGTCTACTTTGTTCTGTTCATAAGATGATGGCTACGGAATTTCGCCCTGTGTGGCTGGCTACGAACAGGAGTATGGCGCCATCGGAATGAGCCGATGGTAAAGACTCGGGAGGAGGCATGTTCCGGGATGTGCTCCACTCACGCGAGAAGAGAACTTGAGTTTTTCTTCAGCTCACCTCAAAGGATCATAGAAACAAGTAAATCGCAGAGGGACTGTAGTCACTGCGGAATGTGTTCCGGAGCCGTTCCGAGCACACTTGACGCGGTGGGAGGCTGCAGAAGGTCCGCTGAAATGAGCGACAAACATCATGTCATTGGCTAGTGCTTATTTTAGCTCATAGGTGCCATTTTCATATGTCAGTCGCCAATATCACATAGGCACGTTGTCCAACGTTACCAGAAACTGTGGATAGGTACACTGTATTCGACTATTCGTACAATGGTGAATTGGGCCATCCGAGACTGTGATTTGCGTTGGGGCGTTGGAGCCTACTTACGCGCTCTCGCTCGACACAGTCATTCCCCCTGTCGATCTCGCCAGGAAACCTGACCTTGTGGGAGTAAAGCCAGGAAACGGATTCATATCAAAGTCCCGCGAATAATCAAGGCCTCGCTGGGGGTATGCAACGTAGAAAAGACAAACGAATGCCCAGTATAATGGTAATCAATGAGAACGCGAATGAGCCAATCGCTCTCCATCAACTTTGGAAAAGCCACACTTTATCTTGGCCCCATTATGTTAGAGTCATCAAGCGGGGAGTAAACTTGATTATCTTTCGCTGGACACTCCCTTAGACAGGGACGAGCGATCGAGAGCTTGAACAAACATCTTGACGTTCCCCTACGCCAGGAGGAGGCCCTGATATTGTAGCAATTATAGACACAACCTCATTATGATGGCCGAAGTTTTATTTCTCTTCTTTAAGACAAGCACACCAAACTAAAGCCACCAAAGCTGTGTTCCAAATTGTATTGCCTCGTCAACAGTAAGCTCACAGGACCTTGGGCAACGTGACTAGCTTGGACGGGGGGAACTATGCCGGGAGCACGGCAAGCGAGGCAAACTCTTCGACTGCGTCACACCCGGACCCGAAGATCTAAATATATCCGCCATGAGGCATGAGATATGAGTTAAAGAGACATACACAGCTTAGAAAAGCAAACAGGGGATGTCTCCTGTGGTGGAGAATCACCCTCGTGAAGGGGTTAAGTGACGAGACGCAACATGTGAATCATTCACCTGCCAGCCAACTCCTGTGATGTGATTCACTACTCGGTATGCTTGAGCCGCCGTCGAGACCGCTATAAAAAGTAGCCTTCCCAATCTTGCTCTTGCCGTCGAGGAGAAAGCCCACGGTAATGCATATTAATCACCGCAACTTTCATACCACCCAAAGTCCCCTTGATACTCCCAAGAACGAGCCAAGTAATCTGATAAAGATGCTTCTCCCAACATCCACATCCCTCCTCTTCCTCCTCCTCACTCTCACCGCAGCAGCAACCTCCCAGTCAACATCCACACCATCCCCGTCCCCGTCCCCATCCCAGCCATCCATCGATGACGGAACTGTCTGCCCCGGGTCCACGGTCCCCTGCTGGGAAGGCTGCATGCCCCCGGACGGCGTCTGCTGCCACGCCTCCTCCAAGACCTGGTGGTGCCGAAAGCACGATGTCTGCGGCAAAAACGAAGCCGCCGGCTGCATCCATCCGCCAAAGCGAGCCTCTTCCTCTTCCTCCTCCTCCTCCTCCTCCTCCTCCTCCTCCTCCTCCTCCTCCTCCTCTGCCCCTTCAACAAGCGACGACTCATTCGCCACGGATACAGAAAGCGTGACGAGACCGAGTCTGACGGCCGCGACGACGACAACGACCGGCACCCAGCTTTCGACGTGCGTCTTTGAGATCCCGCCTATAGTACAGAGGCAACAACGGGAAAAGGTGACGACCACGTTGTCGGCGTGTCCCACCGAGCTGGCCTCGGCCACCTCCGCCCCGGGTGCCTCTAGGGGATCCGGGCCGGCGGTCACGGGTCAGTCGTGGGCGGTTGTGATGTTAATCGGTGTCGTGGTCGGTTTTGTGATGATGCTGGTCTGAATAGGGACAAAAAGACGAGGCGTTTGGTTGCTCGATGTAGATTAGCTTAAATCAAACTTGGCGATTGTGTGTTTTTGAGTCTTATGAGAGAGTCGTGAGTCCGAATCGCCTTGGAAAAGGTTGGGTACTAGGTCAGATTGAGCTAAGGCTCACTCTCCAGCCCTGATTCTATCCAAATCCCGCCGACCACCTTATGCGAGAACTCTGAGAAAAGGGGGTTAGCCATCACGAGGGCGACCAACGAGGTGTCAGAACAGAAACCGGGGACGCGGTACGACGTCCCCGTGCTGGCATTAGAAGCGTGTAAACTGATAAAATGGACGAATCAACTCGAGTTTCCTTTCTCTTTCATCTCTTCCTCTGTCTTCTGTGTGTGTCTCTCTCGCCCTCCCATTCGGGCCCTCTGGTCGCCTCATGAAAACGTGTCTGCGCAACACGCGCGTTCACTCATCCGCATTTCCAAAGACAACGTTCGTTGTCCAGTTATTCATAAATGAGCGCGGCAGCTAGACTGCAGACCGACTGTTTCCAGTAATCGGTTCTACAGTCCAGCACTACCCAATGCTGAAACGCCGTTCCCGCAGTACGCCGAGAGGTCGACGGGAATCTTGCGAATGCCCTTCTCACCAGAACAAAAAAGACGTCGACAAACACACATCGATGCGCAGCTCTACCCAACTGATGGGCCGTATTATGAATCGTGAGGGGCGTTATATATAAGTGGTTGTTCTTGAGAGGTTGGTCGTGTAGGGGTCAGTGAAGTCATAGACTCCGTATTTACGACTCCTGGTTGACGGTTTGCTAGTAGAAGAGGTCAGCATTCATATCCCAAGTTGAGGTTTCTCCCCAACTGGATCTCAAGGAGTAAATCCGCC